CATGTGCATTTCTGTGGATATGTAGTGTTCTGTTACATATAGTGCAAATCCCCCTCCTCTTTTTGTAGACCTGTTTCTTTTGAACAATTTGTATCCATCCATCAGTCCATTCCATTCATGGGTTTGTCCCACCAGGTTTCTGTAATACTAACAATGTCATACCCTCCCTCGTGTACTATTGCTTCTAGTTCGCCCTGTTTGTTCCCCAAGCTTTGAACATTTGTATGTAAGCATTTAAGACTTTTATACCTATTATTTTGTTTTAATTTATTTACATATATCAACTGTCAGTGTTTCATCTTTCTAGGTAATTGAGGAAATCTACAAAAAGCTGAACAAATGGGACATGTTCTGTTCTCTGAAAATATTTTGTGTATTATTTCCATTTATATTCTAACCCATGACAGCAAAATTTTCAAGAGTAATTTACAAAACAAATAAAGCAATAGACCCAAAGCAATACAAAACAACAAACAAAATTTAGACTCTGACTTCCTTGCGGTATTGTTGATTGTTTGTTACTTCCATTAAATTTCATTTCAAGGTGATTATTTAAAGCCAGATCTTTAAAATGAATGATAAAGCTTATAATGATTTTAGCATTTTTTGTTTAACCCATAACATATTGTAGCCATTGTAGAAAAATGAATTGCCAGCCTGGTTTAAAACCTCATCTATCTTGCCCTCTAGATGCCCTCTGAATAGGGAACTCCAAAGAGATTATACTGTTGATGAGATAGCTTTGTCCCCCACCCTCCCCACCCCTGCCGGTCTGATTTCAGGAAAACAGAGCATTTTCTGAGGATCTTTGTGTACATGGAGCCTGATAAGGGCAAAAGTGCCTCCTTAGTTAACCAGCTATTTAAGATTAAGAAAAATACATTGAATTGTGCCCTGAAATGATTTGATGACTTGTGCTGCTTTATTAGAACCAGAAGAATATTTCATCTTGTAATAAAGAAGATAGGCAAATTGTATACTAATTAAATAATTCAGACTGTATCTTAAAGAATATTTTATAGTACAGCTGGAATTTACCAAAGCACTATCTTAGGAATGTGGTACATACTGTGGTGATCTGAAACAAGGTGATATAATATCTCATGCATATTAACTTTGTTTAGCTAATGTATAGGGCAGCTTAGTTACTGGAAGGAAAGCTATTACTTTAAGATAATTCTGTCAAAAAAGAAGAACGGAAAAAAAGAGAAGAGAATAGACATAGTCAAAATATAGTGCCATATCTGTTAGAATCTCTCCAGCCGAGGTGGCGCAGCAGTTAGAGTGCAGTACTGCAGGCCACTTTAGCTGACTGTGTTCAGCAGGTCAGAGGTTCAAATCTCACCAGCTCAAGGTTGACTCAGCCTTCCATCCTTCCGGGGTAGGTAAAATGAGGACCCAGATTGTTAGGGGCAATGTAAATATATATATATATATATATATATATATATATATATATATATATATATATACACACACACATTGCTTACTGGTGTACACCGCTTAGAGAGTGCTTGCACTTAAAGCGGTATATAAGTCTCATAAATAAATAAATAAATAAAACAGAACAGGCCTCAAAGAAAAAAAGTTGTTTGAACTGATATCAAGTGTAAAATAAGGCTTCTCATTAATAAACTAATTGATTGCCATCTGCATACCAACCATACTCGTACACAAAACAAAAACATGTATCTATATTCCTATCCTTCCTTTTAACAGAAGTGAGACAAGAAAATGAAGACACAGGAAGAGGAAAAAGTGGGAAGGGAAGTGAGGGAAACAAAGATTAATACAGATAATGCAAAGAGAAAGGAAATCAAAGAGAGAGAAGAAACACTTTAGGTATTACAAAAAGAATTAAATTTCAGCAAGTAAGCAGCCTTCCAAGCAATGGTTAATTCAGGGGAATTCACATTTTTTAACAACGTCTGCATTCCCCCCATTCACTAGTTTCCAAAAGCATTTTTTTCTCACTGTATGTAAGATGAGCTCCTCCCCACAATCACAGGCAATTAGTGCGGGGAGAGACTACACCTGAATAATCTATGGTAAATCTGAGAGGTAGGTAGGTAGAGAGGTAGATAGGTAGCTTAAAAAAACTATGTTGAGTAATACTGTTAATAAACCTTACAATATTTGACAACTCTGTGCCATCTTGAGCTACATATTGAAATAGGTTTTTAAAGTACTTCATAAGAAATCATACTGAAGCAAAAAGTACCAACAAAAACTCAAAAGGAAATGTAACTGTCTGCACTAGAATACTTTGCCATTAAATCTGTTTCAGATTATAATTGTAATTTGGAACAAGCCAAAATACAAAACTACTTTCTTGACTTGGTCTCAGTGGGACCACATAGACTGCATTTTATGAACTGTAATTGGAAACATGTGATTGGCTCCAAAAGATTCTTTACCCACAAAAGGAGTCCTGTGACTCCAATCCAATATTTCATAAATAACAATCCAGATGCCTTATACGCTAGCCTTGCATTGAGGCCACTAAAGTTAATTGTGCATGCAAACTAGCTTCCAAAAATAGCAATAGCATTTAAACATATCTACCACCCTATAGTGCTTTATAGCACTCTCTAAGCCAGGGGTGCCAAACTGGCGGCCTGCAGGCCAGATGCATCATACACAGGCCACTCCCAATCTGGCTCTTCAAAGGCAAAAAATGTCGCGATACATCATGTGATGCGATCATGTTTGACGCCAGTGTGCTCTAAGCGGTTTAAAGAGTCAGCATATTTTCCCCAACAATTTGAGTCCTCATTTTACTGACCTCAGAAGGATGGAAGGCTGAGTCAACCTTGAGCAGGTCAGGATTGAACTCCTGGCTCTGGGCAGAGTTAACCTGCAATGCTGCATTCTAACCGTTTTGCCAACAGGGCTCCTTAAGGTAATTCTGATTTTCAGAAAGTTTAACTTTGTAAGTAAACTGAGTTGGAGTAATGCAGGGAGCTGCTGAAGATTATATAATAATGTTTTCCTGCACTTAACCTGTGAATTATGTGCTTTAGTATTGCTAATAATTTTCTAAGGGTTCATTTTTTTAATTGTGGACTTTGAAGCCATTGTGCTCCTTGTAGATGTGAGTCACACCCATCTTATAAAATTTATATCTGCTACATAATTATCTTTGCTTATTTTAAACAGAGCAATACCTCTTGAGTTTCCATGCTTCAAAGAAGGAAACTTTTTCACAGGATAATTATAAGTCATACAGGTGCATTTGTTCTGTCATCTTCCATACCTGGCTAATAAACCATTAAGCCATAGTCTGGGTCTCCAGTGTAATGTGGGCAGGGTCAAGGTACCTGATAATACCTCCCTTAGGGCCCTCAGACTCCACACTTCATTTGATTTTAATTTATTTTGTTTTATTAAGCTTCTTTTAATTAAAAAAAATGAAATGGGAAGCTAGGTGTTATATAGGAAGCTATCATATTTATTTCTAAGATTGCCTTAGGGTCATAATTAAACACTGGGGTGTTCTTTGAAATTAAAAATAGTGAATGGTTGCTGTTCGGGAAAAAGAAGGTAAACAGATATAGAGAGAATCTGGGGGCAAGGGACTAGCAGTGGCAGCAAACATCCTTACCAATTTATTTTATGTAAAGGTTGCTTTGTGACTGACCACACCCTCCAGGACAGCCATTTTGTGTGAGTTCCCATGATATATTTTTACAATTCAAATGTGCTTACCAGCCCCAAAAGTTTAGGATTTTTTGAGCTTAGGAAAAAAAATGTATTTTTGAAATAATAAACTCCTAGAAACTAATTTATTTAAAGAAAATTTGGATAACTCCTACAGGAAGTTATAATGAACAAGGTTATTTACGAAAGAAACAATTTTCTAAGTAATATAGTAGCTGGCTTGGGGTACGAGAATAAGTAATAATAATAAGCAGTGATTAATTATAGTAGATAGTTTTCAACTATCTGTTTTCCTTTGAATTTTAAGGAGTTGAAATCAGACTATTATACATCCAGTCAGGGCTAAGGTAATATAATTTGCTGTAATCCAATTATATCTACTACCTTTAAAACACATATCTTGCAAACTATTTGCAGAACTGGTATCATACATAGATGTTGTTTTTGAAACAGACAGTTATATATATAGTTTGGTTAGATTTTTATCTTGTTTTTTCTCCAGGATTCCACAATATATATATAACCTTTCTTCCTCTGTTGCCCCCCCCCCCAAAAAGTGACTGCCGAACTGGATGAAAGTGACTGTCCCAAAATCAGCTGCTGAGTTACCATACTTGGACTTGAACCTATGTATCCCCAATTATAGCCCAATACATCACTTACTTTGGTTCTTTGAAATTGTTCATTTTCTGATTTACAGTACATAGTATTGTAAATCATTAGCCCATGAATGTTTATTGTTAATATACATGTTGCATATGAATACTGTAATTTAAAAAATATATTTTTGCAATTTAAAATAACCTTACTTTGCTAAATCTAGATATTTAACTGTTTCTAGAATTTGCAATAATTTAAATATTATTTATAGTTTGTGATACAATAGGTTGGGGTCTAGACTCTAATGTTTAATGGTAATGAACATGAATTGAAATCAAGTTAGGATGGTATAATTTCCTACCGTGTTCACAAACATTTTTTGTTCTAGTATGGGCCTCTGCTTTAAGGATTCTTGAGGATTTACATTTGTTACTACGTATAATTAGTGGCATCTATAGGATCCAATGCTTTTGTCAGCATTTCCCAAGCAACATCAAGATCCATCTCTTTCATATGCACATTTGTTATCACATGTAGGCAACATTGCCTTTATCATTTACTTGCCCCTCCCCACAATTTCTCACAACATCTCTGCTTATATTTACATTGACCAAATTTTAATATATACTTTTGGGGACTAAGACTCAAAGTGCCATATCTTTTTGTTCGAGATTTTGTAGTTCTCCAGATTTCAAAATACCTGCTTAAGGATAGAATTTATATAAAGTTACATTTTGGTTGTGCTCACTTCAGCAGCATATATGCTAAAATTGGAACAATACAGAGAAGATTAGCATGGCCCCTACGAAAGAATGACACACAAATGTGTGAAGAGTTCTATATGGGGGGGCTCAATGGCTCAGCTGTTAAAGATACTGAGCTTGTCAACTGGAGAGCTGACGGTCTGGGTTCGAGATCCAAGCACCACACAACAGTGTTAGCTCCTGTTCCTTGGCCCATCTCCTGCCCACCTAGTAGTTCTAAAGCATGCAAATCCATGTAGGTTAATAGGTACCACTTTGTTGGGAAAGTCATAACATTTCATGCGCCCTTAGCATATAGCCATGCTGGCCACATGAGCACGGAAAATGTTTTCAAAGAACACTGGCTCCTTCAGCCAAGAAATGGAGATGAGCACCGCCCCCCCTAAAGTCAGACACAACTGGTCAGGGACATCTTTACGTTTTGGTTAAGAAAAAGTTATTTAAATTAGAAATGTTCATTAATTAAAACAAAACCAAGTTGGTGAAGAAAAGAGATAGGATGAAGAGACTAATTGCATGTGAAAGTGATTTGAACCAAAAATAGATTTTGTCTATCCTTATTCTGAAATACAGAGATGGAAATGGTTGAGTGAATAGGACCAGAGGTAAAGAGCCCAGCACTATTCCCTGATGAATAACAATGAGACCTGTCCAGTCTAGGCTTTAATATGCTAGGAATAGAAAGTGGGAAGTAAGCGAAGATATAGTAGCAATAGATAGCTGAAGCAGTGATGTGGTACTTCTCTATATGGTGAATTAAAAGTATGTGCTATGATATATTTTTTAAATAAAATATAGGTGATAGTTTGTGACTGAGAAATACTGAAATGATTGTGCAAGTTTCTAGTCCAAAATTATTAATTACTGAGTGAATTCAAAATAGTTAAGCATTAATAAATTGTCCCATATATTTCCTGATAAAGTATCATTTCCTTCTCATTTATATTAAGAAATATGACTTCTAGGGGGAAAAAAATCAAACCTAAGCATTTCTTTCTTTCTTTCTCTGTCTTCCCCCCCACATATTAATGCAACATAATCATCGTTTATCCCTTCTTCCAACAACTTTTCATAAAACAACTCTTCCAACAACTCTTCATAAAAATAGGCACTCCTTTTTGTCTTGCATAGGCAAGTTCCAAACATGCTCCTGCCTCTCAGTTTGTTTGTGCAAAGACTTATCAGAGTTTAACCCAGCAGCCCATTTTCATCACCAAAGTTAGGTTTTAGAGCACTGAGTAAAATGCCTCTGAGGAATGCACAAAAGGCATTTCTATCACCACAGAGTCTCCCGTCTCTACTTCTCCATAAACTCCAAATTCAAGCACAGGTTACATTTATCATTATATTCATAACTGTCTTTCTTGTGATGGCTGAACTCATAATTTTCACTCTTCATCTTTCAATACCTCAACCAATCTTACAAAGTCTTAAAAGTCAGTATCTTCCTAGAATAATGCCACTAGTGATAATGTTGCAATGCCAACTGGACTTGGTGCGGCTGCCATTTATTAATTCCATTCCTCCTATGGGTAAAATTATTCCATTAAATACCTGAAAATGATGGGAGTTTAGCTACCAAGTAGGCCTTCATTGGACAGATGCCATTTTAGATGTTCCAAATATGTTCTCTAAGATGTGAGCTCCCTTTTAAGTCAACCCAAATTGGTTTTTTTTTCTCTCTCACTGAAAAAAGAAGTTTTCATAACAGAATGAATCAAACATTTGTTCTAATATAAACTTTTCTCTGCACATATTTGAGGGGTGATGATGAGTCAAGACATATCAGAGTAAGAGAGCCATTAAACAGAAAAGCCTGGAGAAATGGTAAAGGTCCCTCATTTGGATGTGTTCCAACTAAATCTAGATAACTGATAGCTAATAGGGTTGCTTTCATTCGTGAGTATAATGCTGGACATGTTTTGGGCAGCTTCTTTGAATAGTTCATTCTTGTTTTGCAGTCACATTACTAACAATGGATCTAATCTGCATTTAACATTATGAATTTTGAAAGGACGTTTCCAAATATGTGATGGGAAGTATGGAATCAGAACTTATATTTAATTGAACTTACCATAAATGCCGGCGTATAAGACGACTTCCGCGAGCGCTGAAATCGGCGCCAAAGACGGGGGTCGTCTTATACGCCAAGTCGTCTTATACGTCGGAAATACTGGTAGTTTCTGGCATATAAGACGACGTTCTAGGAATGCGGCCCGGCTATAAAGACGGGGGTCGTCTTATACGCCGGGTCGCCTAATATGCCGGCATATACGGTACCATTATTCTAGTGTTAGTAAAATATTTTATTTACAGTTATGTGCTAAAATCATAATTTCTGACATCACCATGAGGTAAAGCACAGAAAGAACACAAATTCTTACATATAATATTGGGTTAGTTTCTTTCTGTCCCCGCTCCTATGGCTTTAGCAAATGTAGTGTAAAAAGGAAAAACCATAGTGGTGAGAAAATCAAACTCTCAATTAACCTGAGAAAGTTAGTGTTAAATCTTTGATCAAGTAAGTATGGCAGATGTTTGAAGCAAAAGAGAAACTTGCAAAATGCATCTACCTGAAGTGAAAGTTAAGAATTTTCAGAATTTTTTAAAAAAATGATCTATAATTTCTGTATGTGTTCTATGTCTGTGAGGAAAAAAAATACTTCTTGATGTTGTAGGTCAAGATTTGGTGGCATTCCTAGCTTTTGCTGTCTTCCGTGAAACTGTACAGGACAGGCTATAGTTTTTTATAGATAATCTTTGCATCATATTGACATCTCTGTTAATGTTTGTTTTCCCACATATCCCATTTTAAAATATACTCATCCCCATCCCAGTAGTAGTAAACTATTTTTCAGATATAAAAACCTATTTGTGATATTGGGTTTGATTCTTCAATTCCCAGAGTTTTCAGGACATAGTATATTTAAGTATGTACTTAGTCATATACATTTCAGATACCGGGAGCTGGATTTCAGACATATGTTAGAAAATGTGTACAGAGTATATATGCAGTTATCCTCTGTTTTCAAGGTAGAATAAAATATTTGTAGTTACATCCATGCAAGAGAGCTCATTCAACCTTAGAGTGCTATTAAATCACAAATATGAGGTGGGATCATTTTGTAAGCAGGCAATAATAAAGAGTTTTAAGATTTGTGGGAATAATATGTAATTTTACTTATGTTTTCATAAATATGAGACGTACCATTTTGGGGGATAAACGATTACACTGCTTACAACAAAATGGTACCACATTGGCTTTTAAATTATTCCACCTGTCTGTGAATAGGATTTTTAATGTGGGAATGTACAAACAGCTGCTGCTAATGTTTTCCCTCTGCAGAGAACTGGGGCAGAGCTTTTGCTGCTGATAGGAAATGGTTGCGGTACAGAAGAACAATATCACTTTTAAAACAACTGTATTGAGTCCTGAGTTTGACTGGTTATCAAAATGTCATTTAAGTTGTAAACGTAATGTAAAAAACAACATAACCCTTAGGTCTTTACTGCTGCTTTTAAGCTGAAATTCTGTCCTACTAATAGAGAAAGAAATGAGGGTTCCATCCAGAGCAATTATTGATTCCTCATGCAAACTTCACTCATCTTAGGGAAAAGAAAATGTATGTGTGAAGAATTGAAAGTATGTGTGACTATTAAATGTTTTATTTATTTTATTGCTTTTTAAAATGACAAAAAACCCCACAAAAATAAAAATACAATAAAGGAAAAAGAGACACATGAGTGGAAAAAGGGAAAAAAAGATATGTATAACTATTACACAATATGGCATGATGGTTACTTAACCTATTGTAGTGTTATAATTGATCCTTTCTACTACACACTTCAGAGGCTTGAAGTCTATCCAAATCATAATCAATGTGGCTTGGTTTTTATAGGACACAATTGGGCTTTAATTGACATTTGCTCACCACAACAATATCATATGTTTGGATTTATTAGCATTAGTACAACACATTATGAACTGAAGGTTTATAATCTTCCTAGACTATTAACAAAACCACTTCGATTTTGGCCTGTATAAAATGTACATTTGTGTGGTTGATATAATGTTACATTGCTGGCAGAGCTTAGGAAAGGTCCTTTTGTTTGTTTTTCTAGAGTTTGCTAGTTGTAATTCTGAAAATGCATTAGGACTTCAAAAGGGCTAAGGGATATTGCACTGCAATTAAAAATGCAGCTTGCCAACAAGCTATTTTCCTACAGTGGTATGAATATGAGATCTGCTCGCCTGGCTCATTTACAAGCCTTCATTTTGACTTCTTTCACACAACTGGTGTTTTTGTGTTTAATTTAACAAGAAATGAGTAGTAAATGAAAGCTGCTGCCTGAAATCCCACTGTGAGTGTGTTTTGCACTTGGCTCCCCAGCGAAAAGGCAATTTGTGAAATTATGTGATAGAGTAATTAGATGAAGCCTGGGCTTTTGATTGTTGCCATGCATATGTAGTGGAGGTTTGCTAGAACAGGGATGGTGTGGAATAGGGGGGAAAAAACCCTCAGATGATTATTCTTGAAAAGTTGGCTCAAGGCTTCATGGTTTATTTGTAAACAGAATATTTAGTGACAATCTAAGAAGCAGTAGTAATCATCTCCTCATAAAGGAACTGCAGTAGAGCTCTGCCTGTTTAGAGAGGGCTCATATAGCATTTAAGCTAGGAGGCAGATTCCATGTTAATATAATTAGGACCTAATTTACACACTTTGCACAGAGATTTATAAAGTCTAGATATTATTTTCTATTTTAAAGCACATTAGGTATACTTCAGTGCAGCAATTCACTGAATAGAACAGGTGTGAGTCATCTTCCAGACATCTCCCTTCCCCCATTCTGCCTTTTGCATCATAAATACAGAAGCATCTTTAAGCATTTATACCAAAAGAGGAGAGGCACCGGTGGGTTGGGGTGGAGAATGAATAGAAAGAATGTCTGCAAATGAGGCAGTAATGGACAGTTGCCCTTTATGTACTGATGGATTTCTCAATGGTTAAGTAAATTAAAGCAAATGCTAGAAAAATCAATAGGCTTGCAGAGTCTTGGTTGTGCCTCATAGACTTCAGGA